ATAGATAGAACGATAGATAGATAGATAGATAGATAGATAGATAGCGATGGAACGATAGAAAGATACATAGACAGAATGATAGATAGAACGATAGATAGATAGATAGATAGATAGATAGATAGATAGAACGATAGATAGAACGATAGATAGATAGATAGATAGATAGATAGAGGATAGATGGATAGAAAGATAAGATGGATGGATGGATGGATAGATAGATAGATAGAACTGGAACACAGAACCAGCTAAACCCTTTACAGAAGATAAATCTGAAAACATTCATTCAGAAAACATCAGGCCATGTTTACCTGAGCAAAACTAGTCCGGCACATCAGACACTCATTCAGACAGCAACATTCACTCATATTCACCAAATCTCTCACACAACAAAATACAGAAATATTACAACCACTGACTGATTCACTGAAGACCAAGTTCACAACTGCAAAAGTTTGGAGTACAACAGATTTCATGCTTTGAGAATCTAGGTCAAGAAATAGAGTGGCTCTGCTTTTCAGATGCAAAAACAGACCATTTCTATCTTTCAAAATGATGACAAGCTACTAAACGTTCAGTGGTGCGAGAGACGTGCTCTACTCTGGGCTCTGACTGAGTGTTTTACAGAAGCAGGAGTAATTGATATGTGTGCGAGTGCAGTGACACGCGTGACAGATGCTAAAAACACAAACATGCATGCACTCACAGAGCTCCTGTCAGAGTGATCATCAGCGGGTGATCAGTGGTGAACACTTTTCACATGTAGAAGTTGTTTGCACGTGTGTGTGTGATTGTGCTTGTTGAGTTTGAGATACTCTGTAAAACTCCTTGATATATATACTGTATATATTTTTTTTTATTTTTTATTTTTTTAGAAATAAATAATATGTCCTACCCTGACTTACTTTTCAATAGGAAATACATCAATACAAAAAAGAAAACTGTCTAGGGAGAAAATCTGCAGAATTCTGCAGAAGAATTAAAATATAAAATACAAATAAAATCATTGAGGAGGCTGGGATGTGTGCCACTTTAATGTGAGCAATGGGTGAAAATCTGAAGGGCTTTTTGCAAAATTGTGTGCATTAGAACTATGAGTCACCGCTGTAACACATCTGAACAGACCATACAGCAATTTATCACAGCTGGACCTGGTATTATCAGGGATATTAAGTACAATGGAGAGTACTGAAGGAAACGCTTCCAATGCTGCAAAGAAAAGCTGTGAAAGCACTTTCCACAAATTGGGTACAAATTATGGCTTGACTCTTTAAAAAAGTCAGTTTTGATTCTTTGCTAAACAAAGGATAAGCGAAAGGAGGTGCTTTACCTTCAGAAAATGGCATTCGTCCACCTCAGGAGGTCAAGTTGCAATTTTTCATGTGCTATAATAATATACTCAACAGTAAAATTCATGTAAAATCTGGGAAAACTGAATGAGATTATTCACTTCCTGACAAGCTGTAGAAAGTGTCAGAATTATGTTGATTGCTGTGTGTCACAATTTTATGGAATAAAAGTAGTATTTTATGATGTTCATTTTATGTTTGACAGCATTATTTTAGTATCAAGAAACTATTTTTTTTATATATTTTCAATTTTCGATTTTATTTTTTGTTTGTTTTTAAATAGATCTACACAGTTTTGTTTATTTTTATTTCTGTTTTAGTTGTTTTACTACATCAAGTTAAACAAAATAGAAATGAGAAATGTTGCTTTGGCAACTAGCTGAAATAAAAGTTAAAGTTTTTTTTATATATTATTCTGTTTTAGTTAATGTTTATTTTATTTTATGTAACAGATTTTTTATGATTTTAATTTGAGTTTTCTATTATAACACTGGTTTAACAATAGTTTGCCTAACATATGCAATCATCCTCTCCCCAAAGAATAAGAGATTTGTTGCAATTACTAATTCATACCCTATTTCTAAGTAAAATAACAGTTAGAGATATATATCCAATACAGATAATGTAAAAGAGATGTAAACAACAATCAATCAAATTAATAAACAATCAAATTTCAGTATGCAAATGAGGCAAGCACTGTAACAATCAAGTCAAATAGAAATTTTCCAGATGCATTGCTATATTTCTATTTAAAGTTACAATATGTCAGTATGTCATACAGTATGAAAAACAAAGTTGGATAGCACACCTAAGACTAAAATGATCTACAAAACAACTTTTGAATAGAGTTTGTACAAGCTCTTTTTGTTAAATTAATTGCTTAAAGGTGTTGAAAAGAAGAAGAAAAAGAAGTGCTGTAAAGATGCATTCACACCATGTCGAAATTACCGTAATTATGAGTTTCTAGCTAGTAAAAAAAAAAGGTTCATTCATGTCCTCGTCAAACTTATAATTACAAGCTGGAAACTTTTTAATGAATTTTATGAAAGCTCTTCTCTCACTTGACCGTGGTCAAGCCTGCCAAAAAAAAAAAACCTTCCCAGAAACTGTAGCTCACAAGCCGCTGGTTACAAAAGTATTATTTTTTTTCTTTTTAAATGGGCATGAAATGAAAACTCACTGTATCTATTTTCTAAAAGCATATTATAGATCTTATTGTGAACAATTCATATGTGCATGTGTTTAATTTTTAATTTTAATGGTTAATCAAAATATCATAACTAGATCTTTTGGTGACATCGACAGATTCTCTCTGGTGAAGGATGAAGGAATCCTCCAATCATTAGTCTGCTTTAAACTCTGCCCCTGCAAGCTCATGCTCATCTGCATATAATTTTGAATGCCACACCCACATCTCAACATCCAATCAACAACCTACACATAGAACCAAGGCCCCGCCCTACACTTTTTCTCTTTTGATAATCCATACATCCCTTTACAGAAGAAAAGATCTGTCGCTACTTCAGTTTCATTGTGACTTTAATCCAAGAAATATTTTTACCTTTTCAAAAATGTTTAAAGAGTTGAAACAAGCAATACAACAAATGTAATAAACTGATTAATTATTGACAAATTTATCATTCGATTTATCATTGAATAAACAAATCAAAAAGTGTCAATTCTGAATGGTGTATTTCTACCATAAAAAGTATATAGTCAAACACATGTTCAAAACCATATTCATCATTAAAATGCAAATGTCACAAAAATAACAATATAAAAAATTCTGTGTATATTCTATTCTATTATTTATTCAGAAATCACTTCAGAAATCACAAAACAAATGAAACATTAAAAATCAGTCAAGGAGTGTGGCTGAGAATATAAAGTGTGTGAAGTGCATGTTGAAATTTATAGTTAATATTTCAATAATTTAACAACACATTCACTTCACGGTTATCTGGAGTCAGTTACATGCAGACAAACAAATTAAACATATTTGTTGTTGTTGTTGTCAGTTTTATTGTAAAATGTGTTTATTTTAATTTTACAAATGTTAAAATAAAATATTAATTTAATATTATATGTATTTATTTTAATATTATTACTATAAATTAATGTCATTATATTATATAATCATATTATATTATATAATTAAAATTATTATTAATATTATATGTGAATTCAATTTAATATTAACTTACTATAATTTTAATGTAAATAGGTGAAAAGGGCCTGCACACTATGAAGCTGGAAAAAAAGCATATGAAAGAAAACAAAACAAAACAAAAGTTGCTTCTTCAGTGTCTAATCTTTTTCTTTTTTTTTTTTATCTCCTAATTGTTTTTATCTCACATTTGCTTTTTTTTTTACCCTCATAGTCTGCAGCCTTCTTTGTAATTTTCCGTCTATTTGTACTATTATGGCTATGCCTTTTGGAAATTTTTTTCAGACATGGTTTTTGATTTCATGCTTTTTATTTTTATGTAAAATTAATTAATTAATTAACACTAATTTTACATTTTATATTAATTAATTATTAGATTTCTATTTCATGTCTGTTGAAACCTTCACCGCATCACGGCACATTTATTCCATGAACACAAGTAACACCAAACTCACCATAGACAATCACTGTAGCAGTGGTGCTTCGTCTCTTAGCAACGATGTTCTTAGCGACACAGGTGTAGTTAGCGGTGTCAGAAAGCCGCGCCTGTTTGATGATCAGGTTATGATCGATAGTGATGTAGAAATTCCGATCGTCTGCAGGATCGATAATCTCTTCGTTCTTCAGCCATTCCACCTGCACAGAGACAGAAAGATGAGAAGCCATTAGTGAAATCCATACGGCTACACCTGATGGGCCGTTCCGGGACTCGCAATATCAGGACGTCGTCATGCAATCTCGGTCCCGTACATGCATTAATTCCACCTATGCGTCTGAAATTATCAAACGTTGTAATTAGCTTCAAAGCTAACTCCTCAGGGCAAGACTGACTCAGAGCTTGAGCAATTTTATAAAACGATAGCACACATTTTAGAAAAAGAACATTGCAGAGACATTAAAAGGAAATTGCATGCAGGCAAAAGACTTGTGAGGATATTTTTGGACACAGTGTTTAATCACAAAAGTGGCCTGCTAATATCTCAAGAAAACACAGAGGAGAAACAGGAAGTGGCTGGTGGTTTAGCATGAAGAGAATCAAAGGACTTTAAACAGCAGACAGTTCACTACACAACTGCATTAAAAACATAACTGACCAATCACATCTCGACCAACCAGCTGTTGCCGACTGTTATTTTCTTATGCATTTTTTAATGCAAGTTTCAATGCAAGGAGGATCTGTGTTTTGAAAAGAAATTTACAGAAATTATGAGATATACTGCAGTTAGTAAATAAAATTAATTAGTGAGAAAAAAAAAGAAAAGATTTGCCTTCATTCTGATTAACATTTTTGAATCAAATTATTCAAAATAATTGTAATAAGCGCATAAATATTGGATAAAATAGTCAATTTTCAGTGGATATTTTTTAGCAATGCTATTGCTATCAGAATGAAATACTGAAAGAAACATATATGTATGTGTGTGTGTGTGTGTGTGTGTGTGTCATTTTCTTATGCATTTTTTAATGCAAGTTTCAATGCAAGGAGGATCTGTGTTTTGAAAAGAATTTTACGAGATATTATGAGATATACTGCAGTTAGTAAATAAAATTAAAAAGTGCGAAAATAAAAAAAAATATTTGCCTTCATTCTGATTAACATTTTTGAATCAAATTATTCAAAATAATTGTAATAAGCGCATAAATATTGGATAAAATAGTCAATTTTCAGTGGATATTTTTTAGCAATGCTATTGCTATCAGAATGAAATACTGAAAGAAACATATATGTATGTGTGTGTGTGTGTGTGTATGTATACATATATTGTATACACACACACACACACACACACACACACACACACACACAGAGTTAAAATTGACACTTTTATTGATTAAATCAATCAAAAATTAGAGTAAAGACTTTTACATTGTCACAAAATATATATTCATCAAAGAATCCTAAAAAAAGTACCATGGTTTAGCACAACTGTTTTCAACACTGATAAGCAGCAAATCAGGATTTTAGTATGATTTCTGAAGGATCATGTGACACTGAAGACTCGAGTAATGATGCTGAAAAATCAGCTTTGCATCACAGAAATAAATTACATTTTAAAATATATTCACAAAAAAAACAGCTCTATGAAATGATAATTATATTTCATAATATTACTGTTCTTACTGTATTTTTGATTAAATAAATGCAGCCTTGATGAGCAGAAGAGACAGTATACTTTCTCCTGACAAACTGTTTTCACTGAGTTAACACCAGTGCATTCTGGGATTGTTTTATGAATGCAGCGCTGCCTTAGAATTGGTCCGAAATGAGGTTTCTTACAGGGTGGCATCATTATCCTGCCTACAGTTTGGAACAGCCAAGTTAATGATGCCTTAAAATGCTGCCTAGTTAGGTAGCTCACTAGGTTTACAACAGAGATAGACATGTCTCCACATACAGAAACTGTTGAGAAGTCATCAGCGCTGCCGCTCAGCGAGAACATAGCCTTCGCATTACAAGCTCTTCACATATACATCTGATGCATTAACGCAACGGTATGTCAATCAGGCGAGCAAGACGCAGACGTGTGTGTTTGCGTGCGTAAATGTGTCACAGCAGTGTACCTGAAGGCTGCTGAGAGCTCGTCTGGAGGGAATAGGGTAAAAATATCACCCTCTCATTGGCTCAGCAGGAGGGAAACTCACCCAATCAGCTGCTCATGCTCTCCAGCTGTGATAAACGCGTCACACATATTAGCATTCATGCGTGCACGCACACTTCCCTATACATTTCACCTCATTACATCTAGCAAAGGTAACCCAAATCCCAGCTGTCAAACTAAACCTTCAGATTACTGTATTGAGTGCTATTGTCACCTCAACACATGTGCACATCTTTCTACAATAGCATTATCAGAAAATGAGCGCCTTCGCGGCCCCACAGGTTCACACACACACACACACACACACGCACACACACACACACACACACACTCTTGTATGTGATAGTTGTTCTCAATAAGCTCGTATTGTCATTTTAAGCTTAAAATTCTTAAAATTATTATTATTATTATTTATTTATTTTATTTTTTGCAGCAATGCCATAGAACATACCAACACGGCTCCCCAAAGAACATTTCAGTGATCAGTTTATGTTCTTAAAAGAACAACTTTTTTCTTAGTGTGAAGAACATTTAAAAAAAACTGTAGAACCTTTTTCCACTATTAAGAAGCTTTTCTGGAATAGAAAGGTTCCATGGATTTTAAAGGTTCTTCATGAGACCAAAGATGCAGTAAAGAAACTTCATTTTTGACAGTGTAAAGTATGAATTTCTTTACAAAACATATTTAATTTTTATTTATTATATAAGAAGCACGCATATATGGGAACTTCTTCAATACTGTTCGAAAAGCTCAGACTTTGCTAAGACTAGATCTCCATATTACGATTGCTCAAAATTAAAAGTTTGGATTCAAATAAACTCTCTAACCCTAAAATGTAACTTTATAGCACACTTACCATTTTAGCCTAATGGGTGACAAAAACGAGCAAAAAATGACTTAACCCTTTTGCTGTGCTGAAAATCCTTCACCTAATTTGGTGTTCCTGGTCAAAAATGACCTGCCTTTTAAAAATTATTAGTAAATTGTGCTATATTATCACCAAATCTTGGATTCAATCTTTTTGTCAAATGTACTTATTTCACTAAGTACAGGTTTTGTGTTTTTGGATCGAGGTGCAGAAACGAGGTGCATAAGCTCAGATCATTGAGGTCAACAAGCTGATAAAAAGACTGAATCCAAGATTTGGTAATAATATAGGAAAATGAGAAATTTACAAGCTATTTTTTTAGGCCGGCCATTTTTGACCAGGAACACCACATGTGTGGAAGGTGGGGAAAAAATCCCAAAAAAGTAAAAAAAAATTTTGGGGGGAAGTTGTTATACCGTGTCAATAAGTTTTAGTCCAATGCAATGAAATTAACTAGCATTTTTAAGAAAAAGAAAATCCTCTCCAGATCAAAATGACTGGAAAACAACTAGAGGGTTAAACTAAAGGAGGGAGCTGAATCTTATTTAGAGACCAGACTTTGCACAGGCAAACACCACTCATAATTTCTTCAAAAGACACAATACTATAGTTTTGATTACTTTACAACTACTCTAAAATGTGTAAAATAACAAAACTCACTGAGTGAAAAGTGTGTCCAACTTTCGATGAGTAGTGTACGTTCACCCATGTGTAAACGGCATGTTTGTAGTGCTCTCTCTTTGAGCGTGACTGACATTTGGTCCTTATCTCTCGCAGCCGTGTCTCTGTGAAGCTCACATTCGGCTCAATCATGGCTGTTTCTGGACGGCCTGATTTCTCTCTGCAGGGACTCATCTGCTGATCAGGATGAAAGAGGCAGAGAGACGCTCTTCACGCAACTGCTCATTTTCTCCTGTTGGTGTTTACCGCCAGAACAGAGTTCCTGTACCCGCCGGGCAAATGCAGAATCAACAACCAAACACACACAGACACACACACAGGCTGAAAGCAAAACCAATCAGGAAGTTTTGTGAAATATTTGAATATCTCTCAAATAATTGCTTTTTCTTCGTGCCAAAATAGATGTGTATGTATGCATCCGTGTGTGTAGGTGATGGATATTTGATTTTTAAAATAAACACTGTCCCCATCAAAGATAAGTTTTTATTTAGGACGGAATATGTTGATCTGAAGGTTGAGAAACTAGTGAATGTGTAAATGTGCACATGTGTGCATCTGAAGGTTTAAACAACATTAATTGCATTACTTGGAAGTAGGGATGCACCGACACAGATACTGCGCTCCTGTACTCATACTCATTAAAATGCTCTGATACCAAAAAACGATCCCACACAGCGTGTGAACAGTGCTGTATCCAGACAAAGAAACACAACAGAACAAACAGAGAGCAGAATGGAGTTATTAGAGATTAAGGATGTCTATGAAGTACATTTCTGTCATGACAACTCTCGGAGGGATTGGCATGGTAATGTACATGACAATGTTAATGTATTTGGTCTTGGCGGAATAGATCTGCTACGCTGCTGCTGCGGCAGAGCAAGTACAGAGGCTTGCTACTGCCAATACATCCACAACATGCTGCTGTGAGCATGTAGGAAATACTGCTGCTGCACATATAACACGTATGAATACCCCCCATAGCATACATGAATCCCCTCATAGCAGATCTATACAGGTGGAGCTGGGGAAGGTGGAGGGTTTCTGAAGTGCGCTGCGAACTGCTACAGCGAACAAAAGCCAGGTATCTGAATATTGAGCAGTGAGCTCATTGGCTACTGATACAGGAGAAAACCAATCAGCTGTGCCATGTGATAATGATGTCATTAGATCAGATTAGACCTATTGGACTGCGCCATCTAGTTTCATACCAGAACTCTGTATTTATGTAATTAATATAATGTGAAACATTCAATATTCACGCCTGTATCTATCTATCTATCTATCTATCTATCTATCATCTATCTATCTAACTAACTAACTATCTATCTATCTATCTGATAGATGACTGAAACTGACAACATTAAAGTCTACTCATGAACAATGAATATATCACTATATGGACACATGTCTTAATTACTGAATTCAGGTGTTTCAATCAGACCCATTGCCACAAGTGTTTAAAAATGGGTCGTTCAGTTTGTGATAT